CGGGCTGGGAAGGCGCCCCAGGGCGCAGGAACTGCAAGGGCGGGGAGGGGCGGGCGCCGCACCGCGCACTGGGGCGCCCACCCTCGCCCCGGAGCCTGGGAGTCGCCCCTGCTCACAGCTGGATCGCGACGCCGGAGTGTCAGAGACGCGCGGGGCCCTGATGAACTTGCCCAGCCTCTCCGCTTTTCACAGGCTGGGGAAATGGACGCCTAGAGAACGCTTGTTCCGCGACACCATGTTGCATCGCCTTGTAGGAAACAATTGTACGAGGCCTTCCGTCCGGGGGAGGGGGCGGCGTCCGCCTCTGAACCGCTGACTTACTAAGTTGGGCCAGGTGGAGCATGTGCACGCCGCCGCTGTACGGACCACCGTGGCATAACTTTTTAATTTTGCCCCTTACAGACCTCCCTCGCTGGTCATAATGCCTACCTTCCGCCTCTCTGCCTGTAATCTATGAAACAGAAGCCCTTGAAATACATGGGTGATGACCTTGCCCTTTGGAGCCTCCTCCTGCTTCACTTTGAAAGAATTCCGCGGAACCCAGCGTAGTAGGATGACCCAGGACCGTGTCGGTTCCGAAGCACAGGTTAGGCACTTTGGAACTGGAAGTCACCCTTAGGCACTCAGGAGAAAGTAGCACGCTGTTTATTACCTCTGAGAGGAGTTGAGTTCCCTATGTTCTGGTTTTGTAAATGAAATAAGTGCAAACTAGACTTTGCTTTGTGCTTGCAATGGCAAGATAGGATCGTAACTAGGACTAGAACCCAGCCTGACCTTGTTCTGAATGCTGACTCAAACTTGCTGACTAGTGGGAATTCACATCCTTTGAGAATTACACTCACCTTCTGTCCAGTTTTGCAAAGACCTTTGTACTGGGATCACATCTGGGTGCTGTGTATTCGTGTGGACCGTCAATTAAGACTACACTTTTTTATGCTACAGTTTTATCCTTGCAGTTGCTTGAAAGTCAACTTCACTAACTTGCTTTTGTTGAGATAGGTTGAGTGTTTTAGGTAGCAAACAAAGGTAAATTTGTGGTAAACAAATCTTGCAATAAATTGCAGAGGATTTTTTTCTGTCTTAAAGAGTTTTTTTAAACTGGGCATGGTGGC